AAAGAAACTGTATTGATAGAACTCTGGGGATGGGCCAAGCAAATGACATCATTACCTTTTGAGAAGCGAAAAAGTGCATCTCTTATCTGTCATGAGAGGAGAAATATTCAGGGTATTGTTCGGGCTCTTAGAGCTGATTTCCTGGAATTGCGTATAAAAGAGTATCATGGTAAGTCAGACCCAATAGAGAAAACTCAAGATTTTAGAGATATAGATAATGCATGAGAAAATATTGATCTCGTTGCATATACTAGTACATTAAAGATAGGGGTTTCTTGCATTAATCCTAAGTTTGAGCGAGCATTCTGTATCTTCAGTAGTTATATAGAAACAAATGCTTGGACAAATCAAATGTTATTCTGCATGCAATATATTAAAGATTATATATATTATATTCAACAAAGGGCATCTAAAGCTCCAACTACAGAAGAGGGGTTGTTTCAATAGTTAACAGAAGCAAAACGCAGATGTCTTCCTCAAGAGCTTCAGAATAGAGGAATATTTTCAAATATAGATACTATTATTCGAAATAAAGATGTCCCAACTATCCAATTATGGGTGGCATATATGTTAGAAAAATTCTGCTCTCAACGTCTATTTGGTTGGAGAATAGTTGATTTTCTCCTAAAGGCAGGTATGGTAGTTTTAGTAATAGAACCAACTCTCAAACCTGAAGATAATACTGTGTTATTAACTGAAACAGTAAAGGAATGTTCTTTAGTTATTAAAGCAGAGGAAATTTCAGACCTTGCAAATGCAAATATTATTAACCGTAAAATAGCTAAGCATCTAGAAAATAAACCAAAGAAAACTTTAAAAGAAATGCGAGCATTAGACCGGCACTATATTGTAAATTGCTATAATATAGCACCTGAGTCTTTGACTGAAGAATTTATTTCAGAGTTTGGAAATTATAATTATATGCGCTGGTTTAGAGCTCTCCAAAAATTACGAAATGCAGGCACTAATAATGAGACAGCAGTTGAGGCAATTACCTGTGAAGATTATAGAAATGATAGGCTCACAACTGTTACTAGAGCTGAAAAACATCGTATTTGTCTTGGATTATTAAAAATTTGCACACCCATTAAAGATATCGATGATAGAAATAAATATAAAACTGATATTGTTAAAACACGGTTAGAATCACCTGAATCTATAAAATATCTCCAAGAATTAGTTCCTAAAATGGCTCGGGTTTTTGATAATACAGATGCATTCCGACGCGCCAAAAAATCTGGATTAAAAACTCTTAGAGCAAAACTTGGTTTATTAAATTCAGCACTTTATGCAACTTACGGTTTGAAGCTCAAAGGTACAAATAACAAGTATACACATTATCATCTAGTTGGAGCATTTGATAGTATATATGTTTATACCAGACGGGTGAGGATTGGGATAATGGAGAAGATTGGCGATATGGGTATAGTAAACTCTTGCCCGATGAAATAGAAACTTCTCCCAATTCTATCTTACAGGATACTCAGGACCTTTTTGATATCTGTTAATGTATGTATCTATTTAGTAATGGTCTGTGACATATTTTACAAAGGGGTTTTTGTGACACTTAAAATTGATACTTGTAAAAAAATCTATTACGAAGACCATTTTTGTGACGCTTAAAATTGATATCTATAGTTATATAGTGCCTACCTTCGGCAAAAGTAAGTATAATTACGCATCAGCTTCTATTCTCTGCGCCTTTTGTTTCTCATACCAATTTCGAAAATAAACTCTCTTTGCGTCTTAGGACAATACCCGTCCCAGAAATTGTTAGTTTTCCACAGATCCCACAAGGGAATTTTGCTATATTTGTATCATATAATTTCCAGTGCAATGAACATCCTATGTCCCGCCAACAACCTTTTCCACAAATCAAACTATCTCTTTTAATATATAGACAGGTTGAATGCCCAAACTATCTTTTTTAATGTATTGATCAGTTGAGCACCTCATTCAAAGTGTTTTAATGTATAACGTATAAAACCTGTTTCACTTTTTATGCAAATATATTTAATTTAAATCTTTTCAGGTTATAATAATATATTATGTGTTGGAGATACTATTTAAAGTATTGCTTATAACCTCTCATATTCTATAAAACTCTGTATAAATACTAACATATTTTTTACTCACATTTTCATGTATAGTATATAAAAATCAATTTAAACTTTTCCAAATTATTTTGTAATATTATAATAGAACATATATTAATACTATATACCACGCTAAAACAATGTATAAATTATACACTAAAGAGCCAGAATATAACAAAGAAACGATTACTGCTGAGCAATTATCAAATTGACTAATCATTGAAGAAAGCCAAAAATCTATAACCCCAAAACAAATCGTATGATTACAATCAATGAACCAACATATAATAAATTGATACGTGATGGATATATGCTTTGGAAAGAAGAAGGACTCTTGATTCCTCCATCACCATTCGAGGAATATATTAGCGAAGCAGTTATCGAAGATAACAAAAAATAAAACATGTTATCTAGTAACTTGATATGCAATATAGCCTGAGTCGCCACAACTCGAAACTATAATTTTTTTTTCATTATATCCTATATATTAGTAACTTTCAAATCGACAGATTTGACCCAAAGTATTGACATGTATCATATACCTGGCATATATAGATTAAAACTTTTGATCGAACTTGTGTCTTGTTCGCATCTATTTTCTGATAGAATTACAATAACCACGACCCATTCAATTTTTGGGTATAGCTATCTATGGATAATTAATTTCGATTTGAAAAAATATTTTTATAGTATATATAACCTAAAGAACTGTTTATAACCTACTCGACCTACTATAACATTAGATCATGTCAGCTATCGTGACTAAAATCGTTAAAAAATACAATCTTAGCCCCAAGATGAGTGTGTCTGATCTCAGTAAATATACCTCAGAATTTCTTGAAAACCTTACCGATAATAAAAAGCGGAATCAAGGTTGACGACGTCTTCGAGATGGTTTTAAATTTAGCAGTAATCAGGTAAGTATATTAATACCTAATCAGAGAAGTAGTAAGGTCAAGATTATAAATATCATCGAGAGTAGTTGCAAAATAGATATAGCTTCACCCACTAAAGATTTGAAAGAAGAGATTATCAAAGAGATAACTAAACGAATCTTACAGAATAGATATGGATTTAGCAGGAAACAAGTGAATGATTTATTCTCTACCCAGAAAAATGGAAGTACGTTTGAAGAGCCATTGCCCTGCAATAGAGACGTAAATATTGCAATTTCTAACAAATCCTCGAAAGGAATGGAGGAAGAAACAATTGGGGATATGGCACAATGGATTTTATAGGATAAACTTAGCATTAGAGATGTAAGAGCTGAAGCTTATGCCTTAGCTCTATCAGCAAAAAATGCTAACGCTGGCTCATCACGTCTCACTCGTCTTCGTAGAGAATTAAGGAACCTTAGTGCATCACTTGAGATAATTGAGATTACAAAATTTCTAGATATTACAAAAGATGCCAACAAAATCCAGAGTGTCTTAGAATCAGTCAAAGAAAGATTAAATGCGTATGATATTAAAACTTTATCTAATTGTCAAGCTCTTGCTGATGTTATGGTGATGCTTTGTATTCGTCCTGCTGAACTTAAAACTTATGCATTACAGATGCTGGAGTGACGGGATATGCGAAGAATCGAGGTCAGCCAGATATTCTCAGAAAATTTAGATTGATGGAAAAGAATCAAGAACGAGCCAAAGAACTACTCACTTGGATTCATCATGCTATATTATCTGGATGAATAGGTGATTCAGGTAAGCCAGGAGTTAAATGGTTCAATAAGATTATGATTTAATTCTTAAATATTTACGTAAATTAGGAGCAGTTTACAGTGCAGTAGCATATGAGGCTAAGAATATGGCCCATGCTTATACAATTGCTGGAGAATGTCTACGTCATTCATCTGATAATCATACTTCTCCTGTGCAAAATTACGTTGTAGT